CCAAGTCGAGCTCAAGACTTACCACCGTCACTCCCAAAAAAATAAGCTCGATCGTGCGGTGACTCGGAGATGGCAGTCCAGCAATGGATTCTTGAATCTATCCGTGCGGAATTTTGAGGGTTATTCCCCTCGTACGTATGATTGTTGCGCAGGCAACTCCAGTTTTCTCCCATCCTGAAAAGCGCTCCCCATTACGTGTTACGAGATAAAATAAACATTGCATTAGACATATAAAATATTGCATTGGAGCACGTGTCCCCTGGCTAGTAATATCATGGGAAGACAGGATAAGCAATATGGCAGTCTGGGACGAAGCACGGCTTGTAAGGGGCCGTCCATAAATGACGTCATGCGATTTTTGACTCCCCCCCCCTCGTCACACGGTGTCACAAAAAGTCAGACCCCCCCTCAAATATGACGTCGCAAAGCTTTGCACCTCCTGCCCAAAATAAAACATGCTTCAAATCGCTTTAAACTATTGTCATTGTAGTGCGTTATTAATGTGCCGCTGCACTCTGATGTTGTAGGAGAAAACATTTATTAAAAAGTCTATTTAATTAAGTAGAACGTGCTGTCTATATTTAATCAAAGTTGCGCATTTTGATGTGACGTCACATTTCTCAAACCCCCCCCCCCCTCGTCACACATCGTCACAAATCTCTGACCCCCCCCCCTAGGTGCGTGACGTCATTTATGGACGGCCCCTAAGTGTTGTTAGCACGACCAAACAGATTCTACGGTTGCGCCGCGTGGGACTATGATGTGATGTGTAACCGGATGGGGGAGGAGGTTTCCGGTTACCAAAACGGGCATTGGAACGGTCTCCACGAGTCCGGCAAACGAGGGCAAGACCTAAAATCAGATGGCGCGAGGCCGTTGGGGCAGATCGCGGAGGTCGCTGCGTGTCTACGGTGCAGCAGCTGCGGGATCTGGCGGTGGTGGCATCAACGGCTTTGTCCACGGTGACCTCTTGACCTGCGTCTGACACCACGGACGAGCCAGCCTCTGTCAAGGGGCGTCCGGTGTGCACCTTGCCACGATGCACGTGGCGGGCCGCCTGCGGCCACCTTGGGGAAGTCACTATGATGCTCCACCAGGGAACTGAGACTCCTAGCGAGTGTGCAGGCAGTGCAACTGCACCAGGGTTCACGGGACCGACGGAGCTATGAAGAGGGGGGGGGGGGTGGAGGTTGGACAGCGGACCCCCCATGCAAATGATAGCTGAACGAAGTGGCTTATCACGTGGAAATGTATTGCAGCCAAATACTCTAAACTTATGTTGATTCTAAATGTGGAGGGAAAAACCGGAGGACCAGGAGGAAAATCCACGCGACCACGGTGAGAACATGCAAACTCAAAATATGCAGGCGTCAGGGTAGTGGTCGAACCCACGAGCTCCTGTATACCAGGCGAGGGAGTTAACATCACGCCACCAGACTGTTATGCATGCGGAGGCCTTCATCCAGTTACACGATGGCTGATGATGATATATTGATTAATGTGCAACGAAGGGCCATTACCCGAAACGTCGCCTATTTTCTTTTTTGAGCAGCGTTTCCGACGAATTCGTCGTTTTTTGGGAAAATTTTATCGGACAACTGAAGCCGGCTTGCTCAGCCAAGTAAAATTTACACCGACTACGTGAGCATAAATCGTGGGCCACACTGTCTGTTGCCAGGCGACCACTCACCTATGAACATCGACACACGGAGGCTGTCACGTTGTCATGGGCGTTACACAACTGTTTTTTTTTTACAAAACACTTTGCCTCGTTTTATCCCCATTACCTGTATTGCTTAAAATGGCAAAGTGGGGGGGGGGGGGGGGGGGAGAATCCACTTTTAGAGGCTCATGCAACTGCCCAGTGGCCCTAAATGAGCATGGCGCTCACTTTAAGAAAGTTCAGAAGGATCAGAAATGGTATTTCCCGAGTATAGCCCATTGAGCTAAGAAACTCTCTTTTCCAAGGCTGACAACAAAAGAGGCAGCAGTCGGTTGGATAGAATACCCTTGGTGAAACGTTCCGAACGTTTCCACTACAAGTCAGCGTGATGGGAGGGAGGGACGTCTTTGCTTCGAGTTGTTTTACGCCCGCTGGCCACAGGCGTTTCACACCCAGCGACCCAATGGATGCCAACGGCGTTCGTTGCGAAGCGCTGACACGAGACGACGTGGGTTGTGGGCAGCACGGTGGGGGTGGGAGGCACTCGCCCCAGCCATGTACCTGTGTGTATATGCTGAACTTCTTTCGCACCGTACGAAGCCAACCGTGCTAATCGGAGGTGTGGGGGTGTGCGCTGTGCGGCAGGATGTGCCGAACCCTGGCACGTCCGCGGACGTGTTGGGACGGAACACGAGGTTTATCTGGAGAATCGGGGACGCTTGAGAGTGTGTGATCTTGAGTGTGTATGATCTCGATGGTGTGTGTGTGTGTGATCTTGAGTGTGTGTGTGATCTCGAGTGTGTGTGATCTTTGGGTGTGTGTGTGATCTTGAGTGTGTGTGTGTGATCTCGAGTGTGTGATCTCGAGTATGTGTGTGTGTGTGTGATTTCGAGGGTGTGTGTGATCTTGAGTGTGTGATCTCGAGTGTGATCTTGAGTGTGTGATCTCGAGTGTGTGTGATCTTGAGGGTGTGTGTGATCATGAGGGTGTGTGTGTGATTTCGAGGATGTGTGTGTGATCTTGAGTGTGTGTGATCATGAGGGTGTGATTTCGAGGGTGTGTGTGTGATCTTGAGTGTGTGTGTGATCATGAGGGTGTGTGTGTGTGTAATCGTGAGGGTGTGTGTGTGATCTTGAGTGTGTGTGTGTGTGATCTTGAGTGTGTGTGATCTTGAGTGTGTGTGTGGTCATGAGGGTGTGTGTGTAATCGTGAGGGTGTGTGTGTGATCGAGAGTGCATGTGTGGTTGAGTGTGTGTGGGTGTGATCCAGGGTGTAATGTTGGCCACCTACCCTCTTGTGTGCCGTGCCAGCCTTCATAGGTGCTCGCTAACAACACGTGTCCCAACAGTCTAAGGCTGTAGCGGGGATCGTTGTCTTTGTGTGTTTGGTTGAGGATGGTTGCTGGTGTCACTCTCAGTGGGCCCCTTTGTCTCACTGTTCCATTGTCTTGGTATTCTGCTGCTTCATTGTCCAAGTGTCCCAATATCCCAGTGTCCCATTGTCCAATTTCCCTGTTATCTCAGTGTTCCAATGTCTTTGCTTTATTGTCCCAGTGCCAACGACCCAATGTCCCGTTGTGCCACTGTCTCAGAATCCTAGTGTCTCATTGTCTCAATGTCCAATTGTCCTAGTTTTCCATTGTCTGCTATTCCATTGTCTCAGTGTTTCAAACTCCGCATTGTATCGATGTATCGGTATCCCAACGTTACATGTACCCTCTGTCTCATCGCACCAGTGTCCCGCCGTCTCACGGTCTCACGTGCCATTGCCCCACCGCACACGATGCAAGCTGCCAGTCGATATGCGTTGGAGCTTGTTGCCGTCGTTGTTGCAGTAGCAGAGGAGCGAGCGAGCGAGCTGCCTGCTGAAAAATTCACCCCAAGCGTGGGTGCAGCCTCGATGCTGTGACTCTGCACCCAGCAACACAACTCAGTATATAATAGACTCACGACAAACGCCCCGACGTTAATAAATACGTAGTGCAAGAATGAGAGCTTCCGCAAGAAGCAGCTGGTCCTAAGACAACAACGGACAATGCATTTTGGCTATCTCGAATAGCAACTTGCTCTTTCTATATATATTATTTATACATATAAGGCATTGTAAAGTCACGGTAGATTTTTATACAGTTCATCTCAGGGTGCTCGGTGGGGGGGGGGGGGGGGGGGGGGGCGGGGGTTAACGCGCAGGCGCTTTAGAATTGTCCAGCCGAGTTCGAGTCCCGTACACGGCTAACATCAGTTGCAAGCGATATTATCTCTCTGAACCGGTGCAGGGCCCATGCTCACCTTCACCAACTCGCATTGACGAGCCTTATAAAGTATGGTAAAAACAATCGTCATTATTGAGCCGGCGTGGGGAGGCCTTCATCCAGTAGTGGATTGAGAAAGGGCTGAAAATTATAATTGTTATAATGTATCTCTGGGTGTTTCAGTGTTGTTGCCCACGTTTTTGTCACCGGCTAAGGACATTTTTCACATCTTCTCCATTCAGGACTCTCAAGAAAAAGTGTTGAGATTCAGTGAGGCTTGCCTGGTAATATAAAGGAATATCAATATTATCAGTATTATTATTCTTGTTGTTGTACTTGGCAGGGATCAGTTGTAGTAGCAGAGCTGGTCTCACACGGGAGGTTACCAGTTTACATCCTGGTATGGGGTTGACACAGCTTTTCAGCATCACCACCACCACCACCAATCTAGGCTAACTAAAGCAAGTACCACTTTGTGGTAAGGCAACAGCGGGTGTTTTTTGCATCCATTATCACAACCTTAGTAAACTATGATCATCATCACAATTTTCACCGACGTCAACATCATCAGTGTCGTCATCACGATCGATTGCATCTGGATAAACTGGTTCCTCACATGGAACTCTGGACAACCCATCGCTGATGGCGATGAAAACAACCCATTGGTCATTTCTCATCACCACCACTAACATCGCAATAATAATCTTCACTTCTCACCATCCTCACCTAGGGTTGCTACCTGTCCTGGTTTTCCCAGGATTGTCCTCTGTTTGACGCAGCTCTCTTGGGACATCTGTCACATCTGTCATTCTTTCCCAGCCCACAAAAGCCCTGGTTATTGTTATTTGTTCAATAAAATCAGAATAAACCACTCAACACGCAGTTCTCCCTGCTTCCGGTATTGTGATACATTCTTATTCTTCTTCTACCCAAGATATGCTCTGGCTTCATGAACTTCAGGAGGTAGCAACCTATCCTCACTGGAGGGACTCATCGCTGTCACAGCAACGTAGAATTTCTACCACTGGCTCAGGACCCCCCCCCCCCCACCCCCCCCCCCCCCCCCCCCCCCCCCCCCCCCCCCCCCCCCCCCCCAGCAGAGGACACCGCAGCCTCCCCGTGCTCGTCAATTCAGAGAAGACACCTTGCAAGCAGCCACCGCGATATCGCTAAACCCACGACTCGTCGGCAACCTCATCCCTCGTGGCCTCCTGACCCAGGGCTCCTTCTCGCGCCGCGCCCTTCGCCGGGGACGCCGTCTGTGCCGGGGATCTCGGCGGGGTCCGGCGACTCCTGGGAAGGACGCCGTTGGGGGCGGGGATCCGGGAAGGGCACGCATCGGGCACGCGGTCCGTCCGAGGACGTATCTTGGGCCGCAGCTTCAGCTTGTAGAAGGACGGCACACGGTCGGGCCGCCGCAGCTGCTGCTGCTGCTGCCCCGCGCGCCGTGGCTGCTGCTGCTCCGGAAACGGAGCCACCGTCGCCGTCACCGTCGGTGTCTCCTCCACGTTCCGGGCTCCATTGGCGGTCGCACTCTGCGCCGCATGTGCAGTGTCCGACCGCGCCTTGCCCGGCTTCTGTGGTGATTTTATTGGGCGTCCATTCAGCACCGGCCGCTGCTGTCGGTTCTTTCCATCTGGCGGACCAGCCCTCGCAGCGCCGTCGCCCGGCGCCACCACCACCGCCGTCGGCTGCCAATCGCGCTTGCTCCTGCGGGTGCTCTTGGTGCGCACGAGCCGCAGCGTCTGCTCCACCCGGCTGGGGGTCGGGCCGCCACTCTGCCGGCGCATCGGGGGCGGCCGCGATGCGGGGCTCGCAGCGAGGCTGCGAGCCCCGCCGGCTCGCAGCCTCGCCGATGTTAAAGCGGACCCCAGTGGCGGCGAGCGCGGCCGCACCGGCTGGTCAGACCGCTCGACGGCGCCGTGGTTGCCGCCGACGCCTCGGGCCGCGACCAGCGATGATGCCGACGAGTTTTTAGACGCGTAGGCCGAGTCGGGGTTCGGCCGCGGCGGCGCGGGCCCTGCCCGCGCCGTCACCAACGCCCGGGACCAGCGGTCGCTGTCGCCCAGCCCGTCCGCGGCGTCGCCGCCACCGCCGCCGCCGCCGCCGCCATCGTCCCGCGCCGCCCTCCTCCACCCTGGGCTCAGCAGCGGCGGCGTCGCCGAAGCAGACTCGTCCTCGGCGCCGTCGCCGCGTTCGTGCCGGGCGCCGGGGAGGTTGCCCGGGCGCGAGCGGCCGCGGCGCGGCGCCAGCCGCGGCTCGAGCCGCGTCAGCAGGTGGTGACCGTCCTTCTCGCGGTTCACCAGCATCACCACTTCCTTCTGGCGGAGGCCCGCAGGTGGCACGCCGGCGATGCCCGACGGCGGCGAGCCGCGCGGCGTCTTGTCCCGGTGAGGCCTGGTCCCGGCGGCGGGGGTGGCGGCGGGGGCGGCAGCGACGCGGTTTGTGGTTTTGGGCGAAGGGGTCTTGGGCGTGCCCCCCTTGCTGGCGTTGCTGGCCGGCGGGGGTCCCCGCCCATCCGCTTGGTCCCTGGTTGGGGGTGCGCTGTGGTCACGGGATCTCGGGCTCGAGGGGCCGTTGTGCGACACGCGGAGCCTCTCTGCCGGCGACCTGGAGGCAGCGAGAGGGGACGTGGGAACCGGTGACGTCCCGTGGGGCGCAAGCGTTCGGTTAAGTTGTCTCCTGTATCTAGAGGTGGTCCAATGGCTCATCAGCACTCCACTGCTGGATGAAACCCTCCCCAAGCTGGCGACCCTTTCTCACGGTTTCGTGATGTCATCCCGCAGTGAACAGTGTGGTGAAGTATGGCCAAACAACCCAGATGGCCAATGCGGCATGAGGAGGCCTTTGTCCAGATGTTGACTGACAATTATTCTTATTATTAACCAAGACGAAGACAACGTTGATGATGATGTTGAACATGATGACGGTAACGATTACAACAACGTTGACTACAATGGTGATGAATTATAGAATGTTGACAACAATGATTAGCAATGACAAAAACCAGAATGATGACGGTGATGAACATGAGCGCGACGATGGCAACAACGACGATGACAGTAACCGTCGAACAAGGCGATGGCGACTGATGAAAATGACGGCGTTTGTCACCTGAGCGGGGTAGAGCTCCGGGACAGCGATGGGGTCGTCCGGGTGGTTGACCTCCGCGAGGGTGGATCCTGATTCGGTTCCGCCTTACGCTTTGGGGAGGAGTGCGACGGATTCGAAGGCGGGCTGCGCGGGAAGTCCGTCTCCTGTTGCTGCTGTTGCTGCTGCTGCTGCTGCTGCCAGACCCGGCGGTGAGCTGACAAGTGACACAAAGCAACGCAAAATAAACACCGCTATCAGCCTAGCCCAGCCGCCCGAGAGAAAGCGTTCACAGCGCATTAACCCTTGACCCTGCGAGGAGCGGATTTGACGATTCACACCGTGAATTCGCAAATCGATAAGGTTTTACTTTCGCCCTCGCGATGAGTGTATCGCAGTAGCAGTGTGAATCCAAAGCAGTGTGAAATAACAAATCACTTGGCAAAATTTAATATTGGTCAAATAATTAAAATTATCAACATATAACAGCTGTGGTCTATTGACTGCTGGATGAAGGCCTTCCCATGCCACCGTCGCCATCTCTTACGGCCCCACTTTACACGACTATACAATTGGAATAAAATTCTGAATATAAAGATGTGATGGCTGCTCGTTAACTGCGACTTATTATCGGTTACTCCACGTGTTTGATCGTTCCTAATCAATCATAAACAAGCGAGTGGGCAGGTGAGCCAGGGAGTGGGTAAGCAGGTCAGTGGGTGAGCTGGAGAGTGAGCGAGCGAGCGAGCGAGGAGTGGGTGAGTTGGAGAGTACGTGAGCATGGAAGCGCGGGAGAGCGGGAGAGTGGGTGAGTGGGTGAACGGGAGTACGTGTGGGTGAGCAGGCAGGTAGAGAGACTGGTGTACCCGAGGACATGCAGCGGCAAGGGTCGTGCTTGTCCAGGTAGTGCTGCAGGGAGTCCCAGCCTCCACCCACACGCACCATCACGTGGGTGCGCAGGATCTGCGGGGCAGTCAAGTGGCGTCATCATTGTCACTGTCATCATCGTTACCATCATCACTGCCATAATTGTCATCATCATCATCATCGCCACTCCAAAAAACATCGTCACCATCATCATCGTCATCATAATAACCACTCCCAAAATCATCGTCATCATCATCATCATTGGAAGTGTCATTGTTGTCATCACTGTGACAACATAATAATGAAGGCATTCCTCGGTGGGTAGCCGTGGGGGTTGGTCACTGACCCTCACGTGGATGAGCGTGCTTGAGTCTCCCACGCGGTACTTCCCGTCTGCCACGCGTCGCACGGGGAACTGAGCCGGGCAGGTGCACACGCTCACCGCTTTGCGCACCTGCATGCAGGAACAAGGATACAGATAAAGATCCCCCATATAGCCTGTAGCATACTTTTGGGGTAAATGCTGTTCGCGAGCAACAATGAAGAAGGCCGGCACAGCGCACGAAAGGGTTGGGTGGCCAGCACCACGGCCAGCTGCCTTTGCCTCCCGAGTGGTGATGCTCACACACCGCACCAGGTATTCATTTGAGGCGACCTATCGGAGATCCAGGACCGGTTGAAATATTCGCCATTATTATTGTTCGTGAGCGGGAATCGAACCCAGGTCGCAGGGTTTGTAGCAGTGCGCTAAGCGCTGTGCTGCACTCCTGCTGCCCGCAGTGCAGACCGCAATTATCCTCACGCACACACGGGTAATGTAAAGCGACATCATCGCAAAGCCTCCATCACATTACTCCACTCACGAAGCCACTTATGAACATTAACAGCAGAACACACACGGTAAAACGGTAAAACTACACCCGGGTCGGGTCGCGTGAATGGGGAGGAGAGCCCTTTTCGAACCATCCCATTAATAATTGACGAGCACTCACACACCCCATCACATTATACCCATGTCCATTATAGCAGAAGCCCATGTCCCCTCGTGCGTAAGCCTTTGCATTGGTGTCTGCGTCAGGGTTTCGCGGATGTGCCGCGTAGCTCTCCGTCGTGTTTTCGGGTTGTTGCCGCAATGATGCCCGACGTTTCAGTCTACATGCCGAGAGCTTATTATCAGGCACGTCTCTACAATGGAAGGGTTCTGTGGTTATTGAGGTGGCCGTCGGGTGTGTGCCTGAGTCGGCACCGGTGAGATCTTGGATTCGAATCCAGGTTTCAGCCACCGCCTGTGATTATACCGGGTACCTCAAGCGAGTTGATGGTCTCAGCTCGGTCAACCAATGACTGAGCAAGTAAACTGCCACAAAATTTGGTTCTGTAATTAAATGTGGCAAATTTTTCCACTTCTGGTAATGAAAATATCAATTTGACTGCCATGAACATGCATTCCTGACCGCGTGGAACAAAAATCACTTGACGGAAATCTCAGGAACAATTCTGCGATGTCCGCTTCCTCGGTCTCGAACATGAAGAGATGCAACTGCTCTGCGCGAGATCCAAATACTGCTTTCATCTCATGACAAGGCACGACGCTGACATCAAAATCGGGATACAATTTGGCAACAATTTTCCCCACCTCCACACCAAATAAGACGAAGGACTCTTTGATTTTTAAGTTGCGTCTTTTAAAACAACGGCTTTGCAATCATTGCCACTCAGCCCGAGCCGTTAGACAGCACACGGTTCCTAACAGGAGGAGTGGTTTTAATTTCACGGGTCCTCGCCCCTGAGAGCAGGAAACCCGCCCGTTAAAGCACTTTCCTTTCGTCCCATTGATTTTGTTTTCCCGAAGACTGTGAGTGGCCTGTAATCAAAGCGTGGGTGAGCCTCCAGCAGACGAAGTAGCCTGCAGCAGTGATCGGAAAAGGATGGTTTTTTTTTATCTCTAGGGAGCATATACGGCAATCCCTTCGGCCACGACAAGGGAGCCAGGTGTTTACAAGCATGGCAGACACTAAAAATAATGCTTGGGGCGGCACAACAGGATGTGACAAGCAAGCTGGCCAGCCCGGTCCCTTAAATGAGCCTCGTTCGATTTGCAAATAGAAGCTGGAAAAATTGGGGGTGGGGGGGGGTCATGTTTTTTTACGGCTGTGCTGTCCATGCACGGTGGTACTGCTCTTAATAGGTGCTCACTAACAGCACTCGCTCTGCCAGGTGCAAACAAGACGAGGATCACTCTTTGGTTCTTTCGGTAAAGTCACGTAGAAAATAAAATCAAATAATAATAGAATACGACGTTTCGATTGCAACACAAGCAACCATCATCAGGTAAGAATGAATGATAAAACACAGACACGGAAACAACATAAGGCAGACACACATGCAGAGAGAGAGAGAGACACACACACACAAAGACACACCGAGCAAGACACACCAAGACAAACAGAAGGACAACGAATCTGTGCCGAGGCCCCTCCCCCCTCTCTCTATTTAAGGCCTTACCTGATGATGGTAAGACCATAAATAAAGAGTAATTCCTGCAGTCACGAAAACGTCGAATCTTTTTTCAAGACTTTGTTGACTGTTGGCGAAAGTGCTGCTTGCGAGCACCGATGATTGCCGGCACGGTTCACCAGGGAGAAGTGTGGCTAGAACCATGCCTAGCCGCCTTTGTCTCCCCAGTGGTGATGTTCATACACCACACCAGCTATTAATATGAAAGCTGAGTAGAACGAGGGGATGCCCCTGGCCGATTCAGATATTGGCCATAAGCAGGCGCTGAACCCGGGTCACCGTGTTCGTCGCACAGTGCGCTGACCGCTACACCACCGCTCCCCACACACACCGAAAATAAAAACACCCACACTGACAAGCCTCGCACATTATAACGTTTCACAAGCGCCCTTCTGTGATAAAAAAAGCCAACTTCACCACTCGCTCCAGCGACTTGGAGACAGCTTGGAATGCCCTTTTGAAATGCGAGACATTTGCGCAGCCTCTCGCAATCTAGCATTCGGGAATTAAAAGGACATCAGTCAACAACAACACCAACAACACAGAGAACACCGATCCGAGACAAGGAGAAAGCTTTTGTCCCCGTTTCTCTATTATGGCCATGGCAGGTAAAAGTCCTGATGCCGGGCTATGCTGGGTTATGCTGGGAGGGGAGCTGGTGAAAGAGGCAGTGTGGCACTGTGTGATCTCGGTTGGTTCTCACGCACTGGCATGCACGGGACTGCATGTTTTGTATCATCACCAGCAGCCACGATCTATCCATTGCGGAACGAACGCCTCCCCAAGCCTTCGCCACCTCTCGCGACCCAGAGCCTGCGTATGAGCGAGCGATGTAACAATCCACCCAGCACCTGCACTTGTCTCCCGCAGTGGATCCTCTGGCGGGTCCCCTCCCTTGGCTGACGTTCCGTCGTTAGCCTCGGCCACCGGCCTTTTACGAAGCCTCTGAGCGACGCGTCCTTCCCAACAAGCCCGCTCTTCTTCGCAGCGTTTAACCTTTTATGAAGGGAATGAAACACAAACTGAAAAATGCAAGCATCTTGAGTTGCATGCTTGGAAGGAGATTGCGAAAAGGGGACACTCATGCATTAGAGAAAAAAACGCATACAGTACTGTACCGTACATCGTATACAGTACGAGTTAAACATTAACAAAAGTGGCCTTGGGCTTGGATGGGCCGATGGCCATGACGAACGTTGGAGTGGAAGCCAATGGAGGGAGCATGCTTGAGGGTACAACGAACCACGGAGATGGAGCGATTAAATCAGTTCGCGTGCTGGAGCTAGATGGATTGTTGCATCATGAGCTGACCGGCTGTGAAATCAACTCCTACACGCGCGGTGCGATCCGTGTGTCGAGGGATCGAAGAATCGACATAGATTCGAGACATCTGACCACGTAAATGCTGTACGTAATTCCAAGCACCTTACGTTGATCTGTGATTAGCCCAAGGAATAACACCGCAGCATTCCCTGTGCTGGATTTGACCACATTTGCAAGCACCCATCGAGTTAATCAGGCAGGCTGTCAGTTGGGTTAAATGTGCTTGACTCACAATCAGAAAGTAGCCAGTTGAATTCCAGGTGATGGGTTTGACTCAACCCGTCATCCCAATTGAAAACTTGCATACCACTTTGTGGGAAAGTCCACAGCGGTTGTCAATCAGATGTACCGGCCCTCGGCATGGATTGTGGAATTTTGACCACTGGCTCAGGGTCACCAACAGGGATGTGTCACACCGTCCTCGCTTGAGTAGGGAGGCTCTTTTGACCTTCGACTTTAATTATGTTAATTAAAAGTGCATATATGAACATTTCGACCATGAAAAATATACTCGGAATGCGCCCATCTCGTCAGATCTCGGTAGTTTAGCAGGGTTGACAGGGAGGGAAGGTGGCAGGGACATGGAAGGCCGAGACTCGGGAGTGAGATTTGGTAGGGTTACTGAAGACTGTGGAGAGATATATTTTGTGTGGTTTGAGTGAGACGGTGGCAGGGATTAAGACAGTGGGAGGGAGAGTGGATGGCAATTGAGATGGTGGGGAGGAGAATGGGTCAGTGGGAGACGGTGGAGACTAAGTGGGAGGGAGATTGGTGAGTGGGAGACGGCGTTGCGGGCGAGAATACCGGCTTAGTGACAGACAGCGGGAGGGAGAGCGGGCAAGTGGCAGACAGTGGATAGGATTGAGATGCTGGGAGGGAGAGTGGGTAAGTTGGAGACACTGGGAGGAAGTAAGACACGAGGAGGGATGGAACAGTGGGTAAGCGGAGACAGGGGGGGAGGGAGAGGGGTGGTGGGTGGGAGATGATGGAGGTAGGTCAGTTGTTCTGGCAGTACAGTGATTCTCTGTGGGCCAGCATGGAGCCAAAATCAAAAGGGAGCATTCCAGTGCGCACACGTGATTTTGGTCGAGAGCAGACGGCGAGACGCAATACCATGCCACATAATTAACATGCATTGCATTCTATTAACTCATTAACATCAACTATAATCATATACAAACAAAACTAGAGTGATCGATACAGTCGGGGTGAAGCAGTGTAACAGTGGATATTAGCTCCATATTCCATTGCGAATGTCCATGTTGCTAACACCAAATTGCAAGCATCCTCTGCATGCAATTGCATTCACTGGGCAGAGGCTTTTCTCTCATTGCATCTCCACATTTCAGCTCTCTGGCCGAACTACGGGAATGACCAAAAAATACTCCTGCATACAATACAGTATTTTAAGACTTAAAGTTCACCTATCCAACCCTCCCAACGGAATACGTCTCTCGATCTCCCCTCAACCCTCGGAGGCATATGCGCCGCAGGAGTTAACGACGCATCGATTCATCAAAGGACATCGCTTATAGAGCTCACGACGCACGCATTGAATCGCACGTGGTGAGAAGCAACCACTGAATTTGCACGACATGTAACAGGGTGCTTAAA